GAGCATATTGCTATGGCTTCTGAAAGGATCGAAATGCAGAACTCTTACTTGTGCTCCAACTAATACGGCTGTCCCACAAGTTGTCTCCAGACTTTTGCCCTTAATTAAGAAGGAAAATTGACGATAATCTTCGCCAGGCATTTTTGGACTATAGCGTAAAGCAGCTATTAGAGTTTCTTGTACCAAAAACTGGATGGTTAAGCATTGTTTGAATGCAGTGATGGAGTTTTTAAGATGTCTGAGTATCATAACTACTTAAAAGATATGAAGAAGAGGACGTATACATGTGTACCAAAACTGCAGGTGTTAGCTCGAAAAAGTTTTCGAGCCATTGCTGACAAGTTGGTTCCCTTTATCAAGACTTTATGTCAACACTTGCCAAGAGCTTCCATTTCAGAAGAAGGGTTGGAAAACCTTGGGATGCTTCTTAATTTGCTTCAGAAATTTAGAAAGCTGATATACACGAAGCTTACTGCAAGACAAGCGGAAGAAATGTTTACCTGGGTAAAAGAATTTGATAATTTAGCTTTTGAATATGATAATCTCAGTAAACAGGCTTCTGAAGTGTTTCATGCCATTAACAGGCTGGAGGCACTGTCTGATGTCTGTGACAGATTTTACTGAGAATGCATTGTCCCAGTATGGAATTTATTTAGAAGGATTAGTGGAGGATGAAGAGGAAAGGCAAATTATTAGGGAGCTGACTCTTAAAGAGTTTGTCAACAAGCGATTTACCGATAACTTCTACTTCAGAGGAAAACTTCAAAAACATGAATCTGCTATTAGAATTGATAAAAATTACTGGGAGGTTGCTGAGCTCAGAAGATATTACAGAAAGAGTGCTTGAACAACTGCTTAACATGACAGTAGAAGATGATCATAACATTTTGTCTTATTCATTAGCAGAGATTGTTCACATAAAATATGAGACAATTCCAAAAAAATAAGTCTTGGAGAGCCAGAAAACTCTCTATTCAGATTTTAAAGACCCTTTCAAGGAATCTTAATCTCCCGAATATAAGCGACAGAAGGTCAATAGAAAATTTCTGCTTGCGAGGGGTAATCCTTATTTTCTGCACATCGTCTAGTTCTTTCAGATTACATAATATTAAAATGAATCAAACGTTGGAAACTTGGTTGTTGACGAAGCTGCACATTTGAAAGAATGTGAGTCCCTAATTCCCTTGCAGCTCTGATACGACATGCCATTTTCATTGGTGACGAACACCAGCTTCCCGCTTTGGTTAAAAGCCAGGTTTGTACATATATACACATATGGTGTTTTTTATCTACTTATCTTGAAAGCTTAACTCCGCTGATATTGCTTCTTGCTGGTTTCTGAAAAAACTGCCTTTGGAAGAAGTCTTTTTGAAGGCTAAGCTCACTGGGGCATGAGAAACACCTCCTTAATGTTCAGTATAGGATGCATCCATCAATCAGCAAGTTCCCAAATTCAAATTTCTATGACAAGAAAATCTCAGATGGTCCCAATGTCATGTGTGATAGCTACGAACAGAAATATTTAGCTGGCTCAATGTATGGTACCTACTGTTGGGAAAAACGAGCATAAAAACAGATCCAAAATAGTACAGAACAAACTATATAGGAAAGAAAGAAAAAAACAGAAAGTTAGAAACATCATATTAAATACACTTCAAGTTTGAAGTACTTTACAGAATCGTCTTCTTAACAGAGGACTGGACTTGAAGAAACTATGCCCCACTTACGGTAACGTTGGGTCTGCATAGTACTTCCGAGGATGAGACGACTGCAGTCCAATGAAGCGCTCTCTTCTTGTGAAAACCACGACTGCTTTTTCAGTTCGCCAGAACATCCAATACTTATAAAATTATTAGAAAAAGAAGAAGACATGAGATTTTGTTTTTCTATGTGTTTCAAATGATCAGAAGATGCCCTTTTATAAGGTTCATGGGAGACAAAGATTTGAATTCCAGTTATTGCAATGTTTGTAACATCTACAATAAAACCTATTCAATCATTGTAACGTTTGTAACGTACGAAAAGTTCAGCTGGTTTTAAGTGAGCACATGCAAAACGTTTAACCTCGTTTAAAGACAGTACGTGCAAAAAGAGCACGGACCCGAACTGCGCACCCGAGAGCCCACATGCATGGTCCCTCTCGCTTGCTCGCTTAAATACCAACACAAGTAGGGGTGCATTTGGTCCGGATATGGCTCGGATATGATGCCTACCATATCCATATCCGCTTACTCATCTCGGATACAGTTACGGATACAGATATACCTCGGTAAGGAATTCATATCCATATCCTCTAAAATCGGATACGGTTATGGATATACATGCGGATATATAAGCGGATATGTATGCAGATACAAAATAGATATGAGAAAGCTAGATAGTATTGAGAAAAACATAGTTCATGTGATACAAAAGAGTTTGTTTATATGTTCATTATATCTAAAAAGTTAAGATTAGACATATTGATCATCAAAATTAACCACAAATCCATAATCTAAGAATCGAAACTATCGTAAGAGTATGACTAATATGTATTCAGATATTTCAAATATGGATACAGATATTTTACTATAAAACCATATCCGTAACCATATCCTATCGGTTATAGATTTGAGTAACAATATCCGTATCCTAACAGATATGGTTATGGATATTTCCTCGAATACGGATACGGTTTAGCAGCCCTAAACACAAGTGTATAATACTAACACCTTTGTTATACCATATATAATACATGTGTTAATTTGAACCAACTAAAATGCATTTAATTAGCCAATGTGAGACTAAAACTCACATACTACTTATTAAACACATTTTAATTTTTATCTATGGAATCCAATCATTAAATGATATCTTTCCATAAAAGCCCTCTAAGATTCATTTATTTCAACACCTACTCATTTATAAACATTCAGGCTGGAAAAGAATCAAGAGATAGATAGCAATGGACGGAGTCTGAAGAATATGATAGAGGTTGCCGTGATACAACAAATCATCAAAAATCTATTTAAAGGTTGGTATAGTTGGATACTTGAGGGATAGTTTGTT